GGTGACTGGTTATGAAGCCCGGCAAACATCAAAGGAGCAAACAAAGATGCCAAGATTTATGTTAGAAGGTCCACGACCCTGCACAATCTTTTGTTTTGCGTTCATACGTTATGCATGAATTACGTAACCAGCACGTTTCTATTGGTTAGTTCCTCAGTACGGAGTAAACAACTATTGTGTTTTGTGCAGGGTCAAGGCCAAAAAAGAGAACAAAAACATACAACAAAGAACTTTGTCGGGTTTCATAACCATTCCCTCTATTAACTATGGTGTGAGAAATTATCTTTTTACGACTTTCGCCGCATCATTCTAAGAATGCGGCAAGATTCATCATTGCATTCATTTTTTTAAGCACCCTCTTAAAGGCAAGCATGCAAAACAAATCTGCGAGGTCATTGAAAGACTATATATCTCTCCGTATTCTATGCATTGCTGTCACTTGACATGAGTGTTGACTCTTGTACTACGGTAACTAGCAGAAGAAGACGATGACGAGCAGACCTCACCGTCTCTGGGATGTAAGTAATTCTTCTTTTTTCCTATATCAGTTTTTTTACATTGATTAGGCCCATGCTTTTCTCCAGTTCTGTTTAGTCATGTTCTATCCAAGAAGAGTCTAGAAAATTTGACAAGATTGTTCATTGAAATAGACAGGAAAAAAGGAACCATAGTCGTTCAAAGTGTAGTTACATTTATGGTCTTCCTAAACACTTCAAATAAGCAATTACTTCCTCAGTATATATCCTCCACGTGGGTAAATTCATCGAACCTTTCGAGAATTAACTAGTGGACGCTAGTAATTGCTAGAAATTCACAGAATGGTAACATAGTATACTTTTTCTGGCGAAATTTAAAATTGGTTTATATTTCACTGCACCACTGCACGAGACAGAGAATTTTTTCAAGCCTGTAACAACTGCGCGCATATATAGTTCACTGCCGGAAATCAAAAAAGAATAAAACATGTTCTCTTACCTTGTGTATTCTCTATATGAAAAAGATCATGTTATGACGAAATGATACAAGTACATTTGAAGTACCTCAGTCTTTCTGGTTTGTCATTGCTAAATTACAAACAGAGGGGTCTGGCTGTGTTTCCCTTTGCCTTAGGCCTCATTCACACCAAAGCTTAAACATTTTAAAAGCCTGTTTAGTTAAACGCGGTATAAAATTGTTTCCTTCATAAAAGCTGCTTACTGACTTAAGGTGGCTCCGTAATTAATACA